GAAGGGTGGCTTAATGCTTAGGGTGCTAGCCCAAGGTTCAATTTTCTGCTACACACACACTTCCTGTGTGATGTTGGGCAAGTCACTTATTCTCTCTGTGCCTCAGGTCCCCATCTGTAAAATGGGGATAATGACAGAGGTACTGTGAGGATAACTATGTTAAATATTGTGAGGTGCTCAGGTACAATAGTAATGGAGGCCATAGGAGTAGCTAAGATAGGGGATGGCCATGTTCTACCATAACCTAACTGTGCACTGGGATGGTGAGACTTGTGGTGTAGATGCAGTCCTGCCCCACCAACACTTTAGTGCCACTTCAGTGGTTTATGTTGTTAGGTCTATCTATATATACCTATCTCATAGAGCTGGAAGGGACCCTGAAAGGTCATCAAGTCCAGCCCCCTGCCTTCACTAGCAGGACCAAGTACTGATTTTGCTCCAGATCCCTAAGTGGCCCTCTCAAGGATTGAACTCACAACCCTGGGTTTAGCAGGCCAATGCTCAAATCACTGAGCTATCCCTCCCCCCCTTATTGAGTGAGGTTGATTGTCCAGCAGTTTATTTAACGCTGTATGAAAGTTGTGTGTGTTTGTTTACTACATGCAACTTCCTCCAGTGCTAGGCAGCAGGAGGATTTCTCACGGTGGGCTGTTGTCTAAGGACATTTTCAAATCGCTCTAGCCAAGGAGACAACCTTGACTTGAAATATTTATTCTGTTTGGCACTGCTTAGGTTTTATTAATAAATGAAGGATGTGTGATTCATGCTGGAACCTCCTCTGTGGTGACTTCTTCGGGGGGTGGGAGAAACTTCTTATCTTTAGAAGTACTGTCCAGTTCCTGTGTGTTATCCTGTGGGTGGAGGTCTTTAACCCTGTTCTGTGTTTTCTGACGCATATCATTTGAAGGTAATCATCTCATTCTGAAAAATGCTTGGAGTTCAGCTTTGGGGTAATCCTGTATTGATTCAGCCAGCAGCGGTCTAAGCTACAGGAGAGTGCTCTAAGAGTTCATTAATTACACTAGGTCTGTATTACCTTTCCACACATGCACTATTCGTTTGACAATAGGTTTTCTGCATGATAATTTCTAGCTTCAAAATACAGCAGTGGGCCTCTAGCCTGTTAAGCAGGAGGGTTGACCATTGACCCCTGGCATTTGCTACCATAAGCATAGCGTTAAACACACCATCAGTACAGTAGTAGCCATCTCCTGATGTAATAGTGTGTTACTGGGCAATGGGTTTAGTGTCATACATTTAGGACGGAATTGTGCGTAGCAGGAGGACTTGAAACATCTGCTGGCTGGGACCCAGAGGGAAGCCTCCCTAAAATCCTGTTGCTGCCTGCCACACTCCTGTAACAGAATTGTTAAAGTTCTTTCACTGGGTCTCTCTTCTGCTGGGGGGGAGATTGGATTGTTCAAGGGGAAACAAGGAATTCAGGGGTGGGGAAATGCAGGCTGCACCTCCCTTACCACCCCATAACAGCAATCAGCCAGCTGGAAGACCAAGGGCTAAAAGGAAAAAGTGAGTGAGTTTGCCTGCAACCACTGGGCTTGGGATAGGAAAACAGTGAACAGTGCAAAAACTCCCCTTTGTGCTGGGGTTTTGAACAGTACAAATATTTGTTAAACCAATTTGTATTTTAAGTGATTGTGGGATGTTACCACAGCTGTAGTCCAGGTGCCTGGAACTCCTACTTTCTCACAGGAGTCTGTCACTGTACCCCAGTTGTGACCTGGAATGGCCATCTCTTAAGGTATAGAGTTAGGGTCCCTTCCTGAACTGAGAGCCACTCAGGCAGTAAGTCCCCTGTACCCACAGAGACTCAGCACTGTTCAGGGCACTACGTGTGGGGTAGGCATGTGTTTGCATGGAGTCAGTTGCAGGTTTGAGGCCTTAATTTTTTCTCCATGCCAGTTCAGTCTTTGACCTCTTTGCTCTGGCAGTGTCAAAGTAGTGACTTAATCAAAAGCTCTGTTGCCATAATCTGTAGTACCATAGTCAGAGCTTTACCTCTGGCAGTTCCCAAACAGTAGGTGGAACTACATGTTCAAAAATTTCCCATAAGCTAAAAATATAACATAAATGACTAATTGTCAGCACCTCCCTCTAATAGGACAACTCTATAATCTTTGTCTCTTTTGCAGCAGTTGATAAGCCTAATTACACTCCAGCTTTTTAAAAAGGCAGCACTTTATGGGAAAGGGTGAACCTACTGAATGCTAGAAATAGCCCCCTTTTTCTTTTCTGTTTATAACAGCTGTCCTTAATCGTCTGGCAGTATAAACTGTAATGGCAGATTTGTTTCTAGAAACTCTAATAAGTCTTACGTATGACAATTCCACCTGGAAGACTTGAATTCCAGTTGAACTTCACGTAATACTCTAGAGGGGTAGGTTGCCAGGAACTCAGTTGTCTAATAAGGATAACGAGGAGCAGAATTCTTTTGGGCTTCAAAACAAATTGTGTTGTGGGAAGGGTGTTTAGTGTGATCACCACAGTATTACAACAATGGGATTTTTTTACCTCAGGAGGAAGTTAAAGGTTAAAAACAAATGCAAGGGAGTTTTTGCTCAGCTTTAATGTGAGAGAGAGTCAGGAGCTCCTAGCAAGAACTCTGATTTTCAGAACTGTTCAGCCATGGTCTAACTCTGCTCCTACTGAAGACAGTGGCCATAGAGTTAAGCCAACACTGAGTGCTTTTGAAACCACCACTCCTTGGTGATTTTTCATAAACAGAACAAGCACCGATCAAATCAGGTTGTGTGGTTGCTGTGTTCATAACTAGCAGCAGATTGTTCCACAGCCCTTCACTACTTACAGCAAGTTACAGTTTTGACAGATGAACACTCTGCACGCACACTTTGGGAAGCTTGAACTATCTGGAAAAGTGTCTCTATAGAAGTGTTATTTACTGGTCTCTTAATAACAAATTTGAAATGCTTTACTTTATTGGTAAGTTCCTTACACTCAACAGCACAACATTGCCTTTTTCTGCATTATGGAGTTCTCTTGTTTTATGATTGGAAAAGTAGACTAGAATCTGGACTGAACAACCCAGGTCTGAAACTTGGCCTTGATATGAAGCTAAAGCCATGTCTACACAGCAACTAGACAGCCAGGGCTCGGGCTGCAGGACTATTTCAGTGCTGTGTAGACTTCCAGGCTTGGATTGGAGCCTGGGCTCCAGCGCCCTGAGGGTCTCAGAGCTTGGGCTCTAGCCTGAGCCTGGAAACCTACACAGCAATGAAACAGCCCCATGTTTTTCTTTGCTGTGTAGAGAGAGGTTCCACAGGTGAAAAGGCAGTGCATTTAATCAGTAGGCTACCAGACCCCTGAAATAGTAGGAGGCACATTTGAGAATGTAGTTAGAACTGGCTTGTGGCAACATGCAAGCTGCCGATGCAGCTGACCAAGTTTTGGTGAGTCCAACTGTATTTTCATCTCCTTCCCTTCTGCCAGAGAGGGCTTGGGGGCTCTTGTTGCAGTGCTCTGATGGCACCAGCATGGAGCACAGGAGGGTGGGTGTGGGGAGAGGAGTACAGTAAATCATGCAAAAGCTGGGTGGTGTATGCAGAGTGGGTGTGAGGAACAATTGGAAGATAAGCAGACTCATTTTGAAACTACTCTTGTTCCTTTTAAGGTCTATTTCTCAAGGAGAACTCAAGTGCAAAATGTTATTCTATTTAAATCAGAACTTGACTTGCTGGGGGCAGAGTGAAGTTGAGTGAGAGCAGACACTGCAAGGAGGTTTTCAAAATGTGCATTTTTCTTCATATAAGAACATGAAGCAGTTTAGATGAGATGTCACTCTTGCCCTATTTTTTTTCTGTATTGGATTCAAGCATTTATTTAGCACTGGCAGTTTGTTTTCAGAAAGCCAGCACAAAGTAAGATTGCTAGTTAGATGGCGCTACTACCTCCTAGGGAAGGGGAAATACAGAAACTTTACAATATTAAAAGGGAAAGGGTAAACAGAACTTTAAAAGAAAAACAAGACACTGCTGAATTTTGGGTGGATAGTTAGGATGATTTTAATAAGCTGGTAAGCAAGGGTTTATAGGAGTCATTATAGCCTCTGGTGGTATCACCCTTGACTCAGGGGTGCTGGAACAATTTGTATAGTGGAGATGCTGAGAGCCATTGAACCAAACTGTAAACCCTGTATATGATGGAAACTACTTCAAGACAGGGGGTGCAGCAGCACCAATGCCTTGACCAGCTGGTAGGTTGACATATCAGCCAAAGAAACAGCCTCATCTCATCCTCAGTTCAGTACTGTAAGAGCTTACACGCTTTTCCCAGAAAAGAATGCAGCACACTTACTGTATAACTGCTACCACTTAGTCTCAAAGGTGAGGCCAGGCTGGCAAGTCCACTGTCCCCTCATGTGTCACTCCCCCTCAGCAGCAAGGCGGCACTGTGTGCGCACACCTGCACATGCAGCATCAGTGAAAGCAGTTATCCGTCATGCTAAACAAACTAGGGGAAGGGCAGCACGAGAGCATAGCACATGAGGCACTCCCCCGGCCCCTAGGTAATTTAAACAGTGAAATAGTTGCTGCAAGACCAGTAGCACAGCTGTTCTACAAAGCCTCAGTATATCCACTTGGGAAACTGGATTATTGCCTTGTAAAGCAAGTACCACCAGGCATTTGTGTTTAACAATAACAGACAGTTTAAAAGGTTAACACAAGGATACAACAGCTGTTGCTGTTCTAATGGGTAGAGAGTGTGGCAACAGGCAAGAACACCAAACGATTATTGAAGATGTAGAATCACTACTGACTGCTAGGTGTGACTAAGCTCAGTTAAAGTTCAACATTTGTTCGCCTCCACTTCAACAAAGTTACCCATTCTGTAATTAATAAGTAGATGACCAGAAGCAGCCGTTGGGAAAGATCCAGCCTCCTGGTTGCTTGGAACTGAGTTGTATGCAGACAGGTAAGTGCATGCTCTGCAGCTGACTGCAAAAAGTCTCACAGCCATTCTATAGAAACAGGTACCACTTCTGATTTTATTTCATCATAACATACAAGTAATGCTCATGACACATCAAGATGAGAAACTCATCTTTGAACCATTTAAACAGCTTGCCATACACCAAAGAACATTATATTCAGATTAAACATTTACACACTTCTCCCACCAGCCTCCATCTCACTTTCCAAACTTCTTAAACCCATTTTCTAGCATCTCTCAGGTACAGGATACGAGTACAGAAATGAGATAAGGAGATACCACTACTAGACAGGCTCCAAGGCTTCTTTCTCCCATGGTGGTGTGCTCAACAGCCCAATCCCATAGACTGCTGATCCTGCAGCCATCACTTAACTGTTGATTCGAGGATGTTTGGAATTATGAGGAGTTGCAATGAGACCAGATTTCAGTTGCCAAGAAAGAGGGTTTAAAAAAAAAAAAAGTACTCCTAGCAGAAGCCTGGAAGATCTCAGCTTTGTTTCTGCTGGCTGGGATGTCTTTAAAATACTTTCCAAACCCCCTTCCTGTGAAATATTTGATTTCAACTGTTAAAGTGGTTGTAACTGAAATCTGGTTTACATGAGATCTCATAAATGGATCACATGTATCCTATATATTACACACATTGTGTGTTTATATGCTGAACATCACTTTCACTTGCTATATAAAACAAGTGGCAGTATGGGTAGTGATTAGCCAAAACCTGATATGCTTTACAATGTGGTATCAACCTACATGCTTACCCAAACTACCCTCCCTTCCTGCATTTCATACACACATAACAAACACAGTCTATGGATTCAACCATTCCAGTTGCAGTCTGTGTGTCTTGCACTCTTTAGGATCAAGTTAATCAACTCTGTAGCTTTCTCTCAGTGCTAGTTTAAAAAAAGTCCATCACAGGACATTTAAGTCACATCCTAGCCACAAACAAAACAAAAAAAGACACAATCCTGTCCATTTCTCAATATAGTAAAACCTGAGATTTGAGTCACCAACTAGCTACTCTTAAAGAACAAAAACAAGCTGCTGACTTGAACTAGGGCTTCAGTGACTACCAGATCTTAACTGACAAAACCTCAGCCAACTGCTTTAAAAAGCAGTTAATCATTTAAAAGTATTTTATATTTTCAGCTGCCTGCACTGAAACTGTACAAACAGTGGGTCCGACACATCTCCCCCTCCCCTACACCTACTGCAGGCCACTGTAGGGATCTGAGAATTTTCACACTGTGATCTTTGTCACAACCCTGGACTGAACGACGAAGCATGTTAGACCCCTGCGTATCATTTGTTGTTTTAATACCATAATCCTCTAACAAGGCATATAAAGTGGCCTGGGGAAGTGGCAGCCAGAGTACCACAAGAATATCAGGCTGGAGAGAGAAAGCCGCTGGTTCTCTCCCTCTCAGAATAAATAAAAATAAAATAAATGAACAAGCCCTATCCCGGTCTCCTCTGGCAGCAAGGAAATGACAAGATCTTCCCTAGCAGGAATCTCCAATAGGTAGTTAAGGCTCTGAAACAGGTACTGGCCAGCAATAACAACAAATCCAGCAGTGGCAGGATTTACAACTCTTGCCATCAGCAAAACTATGTTGTATTAGCATAGAAGCCCTACAGTGGGGATAGAGACAGAACCTCAATGGTCAGATTCTCAGGTTAGCTTAGAACATGTCATGGGAAAGTCTTATCTCCAGCACTTGGTCTTGATTTTTCTTTTTAAATCTTATTTCTTTAACTGCCATCTTCTACCCCCAACCCATGAAGGATAATAATGTGGAACCCCTTCTGTCCCTCTTGAATGATTGAGGCTTGATCTTAACAGGCTGCTCCACTTCTCATCTGAAGTTAGTGGGTCTGACAAAGTTTGAGGATTAAAGAAGGGATGTGTACATGCCTAGGTATGTGCAAATCCTCAAGATTTGGGCAAGGATGTGGAAACAATTACCTTTTTTTTTTTTTTTTTTTTTTTAAAGGTGGGAAGTAGAGACTAAGCCTTCCCCTTTTGGGAAAAGGGAAAAAGCACGGATGGGGCAATTCTCACACTGTTACTACATTTCTAGAGGACAAATCCAAGGCTCTTATCAATTTTCTTTAAAAAAAAAAATCTGCTCTCTCCTCACCAATTAATTTTCAGTAGACAAAGGGATGGTGCTACTTGCACCCAGTCACTTATCTCTTGCACGTAGCCCTAAATATTATCCACCATTCATGCTACCAGCATTCAGTTCTTCCTTTAGTATCAGGTTTAGAGGTGACAGATCCACACCTCAAAAGCCAGCTTCATAATCACACACTAAAAAACCCTGTCTGGTTTTGTGTTTAAATGAACTGGGGAGTGAGCACATTTGAGAAGATTAAATTTTACCACTGGTCTCTAAGCCAACTGAGGAACTTGTGCGTAGACAGCTTTAATCAGTCTCACTGTGTGGCCAGTCATCTATCCACACTGCTTGCAAACTGACTACCAGAGAGTGGGTAGCCATGAAAGCTTTATTTATCTTTTGAGGTATGATTTTGCTCTAAAGCAGCTTTCTGGCAAGTCACCTCAAACCTGTTCATTAGAATGATAGTTACATCAATATTTACATTGTCTGAGCTTTGTTTTTAGCCCAGCCCTGCTGTGATCAGTCGCCACTTGTTTGGATTCATAACTAGTCTCTGTCCTTAAGGAAAAGGATCTCTCTCCAGAAGTCGGCTCAGTCTCAGGGCTAAGGTGCACTGTTGATTTCAGGGAGAAGGGAGGATTTGAAGAGGGGCGCTAGAATTCGTTTTTGTGATTTTTAGTAATGTGTGTCAGTGGAACCAGGGAGATGACCTGTCAGTCACTAAGAAAGCTTCGTTTAAAGGATGTGCAATTTGTCACATATAATTGCTTCATCTGTTAGGGAAAACTTCTGAAACATCTGGCCTTCCACCTTAAGTGGGAGGGGGAGAAAAAACAAAAATACAGCGGCTCTCCCCCATGCACATATTAGTTTGTCATGTCTGGTATAAATCTATTCATTGCCTTCACACTGAAGCCCCAGTTTTTAAAATAATTTCAGATTTACAGGGAATTGTTTTAAACAATGGGAAAAATAAGCCAGCTACAGCGTCACAATTGTCTGCCATTTCTCAGGATACCTCAATGATTTCCATGCTGCCCGAAAAGCTAGACTGGCTGCCCACTTTCCCCAGTTCCTCTCGGGATCTGTTTTCTGACATGATGCTCTCCCCAAATTCCATCTGGCAGCTTCTTCGCTTAAACTGCTTTTCAAAGGAGCTTTCCTCGTGCCAGCTGCGCCTTGAATCACCTCTGTCACTCTGCTTCTGCCTCCTGCGCACAGCGCCGGCCTGGTCACAGCCAGTGGGCAACTGGCTGCAGCTGTAAGCAGAGTAAGTGGCGCTGCTCCCGTAGATTGCAGAAGCAGAATAGAAGTGTGAGGATTCCGTAGCAAAATACCAGCTGTTGGTAAGGGATGTGGTGGATGTCTGAGGAGCTAAAATGTCAGAGTGCCAGCCTTTGAGGCCCAGCCCAGCAGCAGACTTTCCCACATGTTGCTGACTGGTAGAAAGACCAAACAGGAAGTTTGTTCTGTAGTTGTCTTCCATGCTCCCACTCCGATGCAGCGGGTACAACAGTGACCTTTGAATTGTGCTGCCGGTTCTCCCCATGTGCTGCCGCTTGCTCTGGCTGTCCAGCTGCCAGGCGTTTTGAGGTTTCTCAGGAGGATTTGCCTCCTCTTTATCGGGGCTGGTCTCTGGCGTCTGTTCTGAAACTTCCTGGACAGGGGAGAACTGACACAGCTTGTTGCCGCCCTCTAGAATACTACAAACATTCAACTGCTTTAGAGTGTCCTCTGACGCTGCAAACCCCTGCACCGCTGCAGTCACACAGCTGCTGCTTGCTGAGTAGGATACGGATTTGATATCCAAAGAAAATGAGCGCTTCAGTCTGTTGCTATCTTCTACCTTGTCAGAGGACACATGGAGTCCATTTATGCCCTGTACCAGCGGGCTATCCTCTAATGCTGGCAAGTGCGAGCATGGCAGACTTCCAGAGTCCATTGGCTTCTGCTCCACAGGCTCGGAGGTAGAGTTAGTGCCAAGCTGATTAGTGGAGAGGCCACTGCTCTGTCCACTTTCGGGGACCAGTCCATGCTCACTACTTTTTTCCAAATGCAAACGTTTCAGCTTGCTAATTGGTCCAGGCTGCCCAGTCTGGTTCTTAAGCTTCTTCTCAAAATCCAGAAGCTGGCCCAGGAAATTGAAGTTGGGAGAAATTGTTGCCCTTTTTTCTTTCACAAATCTAAAGAGAAAATGCAAGAATTATTTAAAACCCCTACTGTTTAAAATGTGAGTAATATTCCCACTCAGAGTACGAGGCTTACAGTCTTTGGGGTGTCTTGATTCTTAAGATATTTGGAATCAGGTTCAAAGAAGCACCACTAATGGATGCATGGGAAAGGCAGGGAGAGCAATGAATTGAACGACTCAAACGTAAGCAACTAGACAACCCAACATATTCTCTCTCCTTTTTACAGTTTACACAGCTCTTCTGAAAGAAGAAGGGGAAAAAGGTGCCTTTATTTTTGCTTCCTCACTATATATAAAGAAAACCTAACAGGGGTTTGGGGTTATTCTGTGCAAGTTTTTACTTCAGATTCTCTGGTTCTGGATAACCTGTTTTGCTGGATTTTTTTTAAGAGCCTCTCAGACCTTCTTCATATATTAAAGAAAAAAGAGTTCTTCATTCTTTCCCCCCTCTCCTTCGTAGATCACCTTTAACTCTCTCATTATTTTAAATTAGTTTATCTTGCTAATATTAGCATTTTCTGACCTTCTCTCTATCCTGTTTTTATCTTCTTGTAGGCAGGGTCAGCCTGTTCTGCAATACCTTGGGCCTAATTTGTGCAACAAGGACCACTGGCTTCTATGATGCACCAGTCTTTCTATCTTCAGCCAACTGAAAATTGACTTTTATATCATTTGATTAATTAAATATTAAAATGCAACACAGTTGGGCTTTGTCAACATTTCAGAATTTTTCAGAAATAGATTCCCCCCCAGTTCCTTGGCTGGCAATTTTGTAAAAATTTGCTTCGTGCTTGTTCAGTAAAGCACTGAAACAACTCCTTACATCCTATTGAAATCAATGGAATTTATATACATGCTTAAATTTAAGCATCCAGTATTGAACCAGATGAACTTAAAATATATAAAGTTAAGAAAGTACATTTGCTAAATTAGAATCCAAAAGTAAACAGATGTCCAATATTGAAGTTTTGGCAAACACTTCCTCTGAAGTAAGTTATATACAAGAAGTTATATACTTCTTGACAACTTGTTTGATTTGCATTGTAGCCCATGAATACTACCGGTTCTTTACAGGCTCTAAAAAAGTTACCATTGTCAATGTACATGCCAACATAGGAGTCCAACCCCACCCTCCTACCCTTGTGTTTTCATTCCTGGAATTACACAAGTAGCAAAATGGCAGGAGCAATCACAAAAAGCCAGTATAAGTGGGAGTGGCAGCAAATGCATCTGTCCCTGTGATCATGTATTTGGGTGGGAGGAGAAAATATAAAAACCCACCAGGGAAAGGCAAAAATCTGGAAGTCTAGGAAATGGGGTGAGGAAGAGTATTAAAAGAGGAGCAAAAACCATCAAGAACTAGTGAACTCTAGAAGAAAGTCATTTTCTCTTACACACATGCACATGTGGAAAAGTAAAACACTCAAAATATACTACGATATTAAAAAAAGCTAAACACAAAAAAAGTCTCCACAAGAAACTGTTCCAGTCAGACTAAAACAGAAAAATCCATATAACTAAGTTATAGAACCATGAAATAAAAACTACAAAAACACAAAAGATTCCTTTTTTTGTTTGGTCTGTTTTGCACTAGCCACCGCTACCAGTCATGGAGAGGACCTGGAACTTTTTGATTACAATGTATGCGAACCCTTTCAGTGCTAATCCTGTGACTAGTGGCAAAATAAAATAATAATAATAATAATTTGAATTGGAAGATCAGACAACAAGCATAAAATGGCAGCTGACACTACCACCCTCACACATGCATCCACATTATTCTCTGGCAGCTGGGAGAAATGGTACATCCTGCAGACAATTCTCCAGCTCAGAATCTCCTGAGCAAGGAACTTCATTCTAATGTGTTCAGGAATTGAGTAATTTATTTCATACCATCTTTGTTCTAATTGTTTTCCTCTCTGCTGGTTGCCCTGGTTGGATTAACCCAGTAGCTTCTTTCCATCATGTTGGCACTTCTGCCCTGTGTGCTGCTAGAGGCCCCCAAAGCTGTTTTTAAAGGGACACTATAAGGAAAATGTAGTAGCTCTGCAAACATACAAGACAACATGCCAGTTTGGGGTTTTACAAGCATGTTAATTGTTTCTTTAATCAAACAAAATGGATTGATTTTAGTCATTTTTGATGTTTCTCCTTATACGGTAGTCAGATGTACAAAATTAACTAGAGAAAATGCTTTGATCCTTCACTTGGATTTTACTTGTAACAAATGTAAATCTAAGGTTTCAGACAAGTTATTTTATAGTTGTTTATCTTCTACTTTTCACTAATTCAGAAAATGAAATATGCCCTTTGTAGATTTTCATTTTTAAAAGCTTTGCACCAAAACAACGCTAAACAACTGCTTAAAAAAAAAAAAAAAAAAAGTCCTTTACCACAACTTTGCACAGAAGTTGTGGACTTGATTGACAGCGACATGCGAGAATTCATTGCAAAAGTTTGAAGAAAACACTCCTTCAATTGACTGCGATTGCTTCTAGCCAATGAGAAATCTCATTAGAAAAGGTTAGACTTCTGTCATGCATACAGCTCCAGTTTCATTTCTCCCAATGTTGCCAATCTAAAGCGATTGTAACACAGAATCTCAGTCTGCCTTGTGAAACAGGTAATCACTGCACATAAACCATGTATTTTTCGTCTCTGTCCTGTCTAATTCCTAGTTTGTTCGTCAGCATCCCATATTTGCGCCACTTTCACCATATCTAATGGAAGTTCCTTTGCATTAGTAGGTTCCTAACTAGTTCTGAGGAGATGCAGTGTTCAGATCTTGCATGATACATCTCCCACATTCTGTAAAGAGCAGCCTTTAAAAACCTAGAGTTTCTATCCCCCCTCTAATGAAATATTGGTTAGATCCAGAAGAAATTCTGCCACTCAAATAGAAGTTACTCACAGGCAGATTTTCAAATACCTTTCTTCCCATCACAGTGACACCTGTAGTAATTTGCAAGGTATGTTTACCAGCTCAGCAGCAGCTGTTCAAAATTATGTTCTTGGGAGCTTACAGTGCACATTACAGATAACCACGTACTCAAAAGCGAACAAAAAGAAAGCCAGGTTGGCTTTCTGCGCCATTGAGAACAACAAAATGTTTGTCAAATGAAGTACAAAAATGGTGGTAACAAGCCTGTGTTCAACCTTCCCAAAGCATTCACAGTCAAACTAGATTCCAAACTTGCCGACTCATGTGAAACAGAACTCAATTCTTGTACAAAATCCTTGGCTGCCCAAAAAATGGTCACTTCAAAAGATTTTCAGAATGATCACTGACGGACTTCAATGGCAACAAATGATTCATCTTTCAGTTTACTTAATTCCTAGAAGACCTTCACTACAGCCATTTGTGATCATCATCCAATACCACCGGTAAATCATTAGATTCAATCTAGCATTTTAAAAAGTGCACACACTATATAAACAACATTTGCTATTCTGGTTTCTCTCCTCTCTCTTTGTGGCTTATATTGGCACAGACTACTAGATGGTGGCCTATATGTGGTCTCATCTGCGTATTCTATTTCTTCCTAGCTATTACTATTATTTAACATTCTACCCCTTACCTACAGAGCAGAGGCCAAGACTATATTCTGCAGTTGGGAGCTAACTGCCACACACCCATATGAATGGGTGGGGGAACTTGATGGGGCCAGTGGTGAAAGGGGGACAGTCCCAGTAGCAAGAGACGGAGACACTCACCAAATATATGGAGATATACTTATCTCATAGAACTGGAAGGGACCTGAAAGGTCATCAGATCCAGCCCCCTGCCTTCACTAGCAGGACCAAGTACTGATTTTGCCCCAGATTCCTAAGTGACCCCTCAAGGATTGAACTCACAACCCTGGGTTTAGCAGGCCAATGCTCAAACCACCAAGCTATCCCTCCCCCTTGAAGGGACAATAGGTAGCTTCTCCTCCTGGGGTCTCTGGCACCCATTGGCCAGCTGGGGGAGAAAGGTGCTGATTGGCCACCATTCCCCAGCTCTCAGGATTTAGCTCAGCACAGGGGCCACGTGGAGCCTCTTTTGGCTGCATTTCAGCAGCTCACCCTACCCACCCGAAGTAGAAATGGGAACCTGGTCTGACAGATGCTGATAGACTAAACAGGGTCTAGGTGATCAGGAAGGTATTTGCTCTCTTGTGGACGAACTGGCAGAGGACCAGGGAATTTTTTGCCTTCTTTGTGGCCCCTTCAAGCCACAGCGGGTTAAATAGCAATATGCTTAGTACCTAACCGAGGTAGAGTTTATTTGTTGCAACTTGAGGCCCATTTCCAGTGCAGTTAAGAGAATAAAATGAATGGTTCCTGTCTGTCCCCCGCTGCATTCCTTTTCCCCCTCTCCTTTCTGTTTGTCTTGTGTGGCCGCCCCTCCTGGCCAACTAAAGTCACAGCCCTATTCATAGGAATGGCTTGTACAGACTAATTGGAGCCATTGCTCTGCCTAGGGAGGGGGCTTCTTGCTTCTTTGTTTGGTTCTTTTGTTCAGACCCGGGCTCGGTGTGGGGGACGCTGCCCAGAAATGCAAGACCTGAAGTGGCCAACTAATTAAGCATATGAGTCATACCTGTGGCTCAGAACATGTCCAGGCATGCCTATGCTTACCTGCAGCCTTTCCCTGCCATCTCTCCTCCCCTGTATCAAGAGGAGCCAATCAAAAGTACTGGTGGGAAACTGCCTGAGTTTGCCTTTAAAGCCGGACATTTTCTGATCAGACCTCGGAGAAGGTCCTTGCTTTGCCACCTGGTCTGATCAGTTAGGGGTCTTTGGGGGGCCCTCTCCCCGCTCTCATTTGTTTTTGAGCATACCCCTGTTTTTAAACTCCCCTCCCATGAACAACAAATTTGTGCCTGGAGATCTCCTGATTATTCTAAGCGAATCGAGTCCTCTCTCCATCCTCCGATGCTACTGCCGTTCCTGTCTCTGTGCTTGCTGCTGTCCTGGGGATTGGTAAGAACTCCCTCTTGCAAACTTCCCCTGTCCTAGCTGCTGGCCTTGTTTCCCCAGCAGACAGACCCAAGCTAATTCCTTGGTCTGTATCTGTAATCTGTTTCTTGCTCCGCAGCGCCTTTGCTGCTGGAAATAAGCCCGTGCTGCTGCTAGGCTGTGCCTTCCTGGACTGTATCCTGGGCTGCCGGCTTGCAGCCACCCTACTGCTGCAGCCACCACTAGTTAACCCCCCCCATCCCCCCGAGCTTGCCCGTGTCTCCCCCCGAGCTCCCCAGTCACTCGTTGCAGTCTCTCTGTTGTTTAAGCTCGCAGCCTGTCTGCTTTCTGTGTCTCCCTGAGTTTAAATCTCCCTCTGCAGCGCCTCTGCCTTTGGTCTCTGCTCCACCACGTGCTCCTCTTCCCCCATCCCCCAACCTCACTCCTCTACCACTGCCTTTCTCTCTCTCTCTTTTAATCCCTTCCCCCACATGCTCACCCCGCTCCTGCTGCTGCCAAACCTCAATTGTATTACTGAAGTCTAGCATAAAATCCCATTGGTTACCTTTTTTCTCTCTAACACACCTCACATTTTACATTTACACCACTGTGACATATTTTTACCTAGAGTTGTTGGTTATTTAACACATTTTACCCATAACTGTTAGTTGGTTATATGCTGCTGTGACACACCCTTTACATACGAACTGTTAGCTACCTGTTACAGTTGGTAACCAATTAACACTGAAGTATAAATGTATTGGACCCCACTGTATTGTACCCCACTATTGAAACCCCCTATCCTATTTACTAAAAGAAACCCCTCCCCAATTAACAAACCCTGTACCCCCACTATTGAATTTTCCCTGTTTTTGCATTTTCTTAATAAAGAAGATTTTGCACCCCACCAGTGCAGTAGTTGTCCACCAAGATCCCCTACCTGCTGGCAGGGTCAGTTCCCACAAGTAAAATACCTGGAATTTTGGTGGTGGGCTTTGGGCTCATGTGATAGGTCAGACCTTGTGGCCCTCGCGGACAGAAGTCCCTAGCCTGCTGCAGCCTCTGTCCCCCTTGTAGGGGGGGTAGGGAGGCTAGGACTCAGAGCAGGGGATAGGAGGGGTCAGCTGAAGAAAGCCACCCCACGTTATGAGTTATATGGTAAGAAGCCCTGTAACCCCCACACTGGAACTAATTAAATGCCTGGTATAGGAGAGTATGGATGATGGCTGGGTAGTGCCCCTCCTGTATTAAAATTTAATAAAAGTTGCAGCCTGCTGCTTCATTCCATGCATGTGTCTGTCCTCATTTTGCTGCTGTGTCCACATCAATGTTAGGTTTTTACTTCCTACAAAACAACGGCAGGTGAGTCTGTAGGAAGTCCATACTTAAAGCAAGGGTAACTTCAGGCATTCTTGGATGAAGAGGAAAGAGTACATGATGAAATAATGTTTATAAGTTTCAAGCTGACAAGCACAAAAGCTCATTTAAAAGGAAAAGTCTATCCTTACCTGTAGGCTTCATCAAGGGACATATCCATTCTCTTCATGATGTATGCAATTGCAATTGTGGCGGAGCGGGAGATCCCCGCTAAACAGTGCACTAAAACTCGCCCATTTGAGGCTTTTGCTTTCTCTGTACAACAAAAAGAAAAATTCAAGAAGTGTCACTGTCAATGGCACAGGGTGATGAAATATTTAAAAGCTCCCTGTTAAAATGATAGAACTTTAAAGTTCACTCTTTATTACAGATCCCATGGAAGCTTCAAGCAGAAATCAGTGTTATGACTGATGCATTCTCTTTCATTCATGTACCCATGTTGATCTGTTCTTGTATTAAGAATATTACTGTATACTTACAGCATTACAGAAACCATCTCACGATACACTAAATAATAATCCTGACAAGGACTCAGTGGGAGGGATTTGTTCCCATTTTATATATGAATAAAATGCAACACAAATTAAATGATTTGACTAAGTTCACGTGGTGGGTCAGTGTCAAAGCTGAGAGCAGGACCTGAAAGTGCAGCTCTCTTGGCTTCCTCCCTCTTGCTCTAAACACAATACTCTCTACCCTAAAAAAAAAAAAAAAAAAAAAAAAATCTGATGGAGCAGTAACTTTGCTGTCCTGCACCCGATGAACTCAATGGGAGCTTAATCATTAATGTGTTGGAAAGTTCAAGCTCTTCATGCAGATTTTTAAGGAAACCTGTAACATTTACACACCCACACCCACCCCTTTGTTTTGGATCAGGGAGGAGATGATACAAGAGAAGGGAAAAAGAGAGTAGCTCAAAACTTTTATCTTTCCATTTCCTCTGAAGCCAAAATTTACATTTATACTGAACTCATACTTAGAGCAATGATTTAAAAATTTTAGTTACATCACATGGTATGTGACCGGGGGGAATTCTATGATCTAGGCTAAGACATATGCAAAAGGTAAGTCAATGTCAACTGTCCTTTTAATCTGTGCTGGAGAATGAAAACCTTACAATGCTGTTGCTAAGTCACTATAAAATTGTTTATTTGCTAAAAGCCTTCTGTCCAATTGTACAGAAAATCTGTGGTTATGTTTCTTAGCTTTTGGATAAGCTTATTTTTACAAAAATCCTAAATCTGAAGCCAGATTTGACCCTTTAAGAAAGATTATGGCAGAGTTCTTTGTTCACACATGACATTTATGTAATGCTACATATGTGTTCAGCAGGACTCTGCAATTGGCGCTTAACTCTACTTCCCTTTTTATGGCACTGCTATGGTATGTGCTGATGCTCCTACTGCTTCCAGGACCTTAAAAATCCCCTCTACAAATTGTCAGCAGATTTCTTAACTGTTAGTGTGATGTAGAGAGGCAGGCTGTTTCCTAGCCAACAGAGAGACCATGTAGGTAGGGTACAGCATTATTTATTCCAAAGATTATCAGCTAATGAACGTTTTCTGATGGCAGAATGGTTGCATATATTTATATATTTTAAACATACATGCACACTTACATTTATACATGTAATTTTGTTCCTGTATGTGGCATTGCCTTTTATGCTGATAAATGCAATTGAACTACACCTCTACCCTGATATAACACGACCCCATATAACACAAATTCAGATAGAATGTGGTAAAGCAGTGCTCTGGGGGGGCGGGGCTGCGCACTCCGGCGGATCAAAGCAAGTTTGATATAACGCAGTTTCACCGATAACGCGGTAAGATTTTTTGGCTCCCGAGGACAGCGTTATATCGGGGTACAGGTGTACTTTAAAACCCAACAACGTTTCAACGTAACTGTAACCACTCAGAAGAAAGTCTTCAGTGTCAACTCCACAGAAACATCTAGTCAGTGTGTAGCACTGCTCTTTCCCCTCACCCCCACCAAAAATAAGCAAAATGTCAGAATGAACAAAATGTCAAGAATGAACAAAAATAATGAAAATATTATTGTGCTATTATATAAAGTTGATGGTGCCTGAATAGCATGTTCAGATCTACTCTTCTATCTCAAAATAAGTAGAGCAGCAATGAAAAGGGTTCACAGATAGGCAAGAACATAATTAGAGACAGAGAGACCTGAGTTGGAGCAGAAGTTGATGGTTTGGGACTGCTGAGTTTAGATGTATGGGTAGGGTTACAAGAGTGGTATATAAAATGACAATTGCAATATGGAAGGTAGATCAGGTGCTTCCGTTTACTTTCTCATCATAAAAGTCAATGAGACACTTAGCAAAAAAAAACAAAAACAAAAAAAACAGAATTAAAATGGATAAAAACGCTTTAAAAAAATACATGGTATAATTAGCATAGAGCTATTATATCTCATCTTCTTACCAATAAAATCAACTGATTTGTCTAACCAAGGCAAAATTTTCTCGCAGAAGCTGTCATTCACAGGAACTCTCAAGAAATGAGACTCTGGGATAAAGTCAGGCTTTGGACAGGTATTGCTTGCATTTAATACATAACCAATAGCATTCTGCTGCATCAGCTCCTATAAGAGACAAAGATCAAGAGTGAAAAAAATACAGCCCTATCTCTGGCAGGTAAAAAAAATTAAGCATATAAAAGTAATCCTGAGTCTACTTGGAGTGTTACTTAACTGGAAGCTAGATCAGAATTCCTATTTGCATAATTCTAACTATATGTTAGACATAAGAACTGCCATACTGGCTCAGACCAAAGGTCCATCTAGCCTAGTATCCTGTCTTCCAACAGCGGCCAATGCCAGGTGCTTCAGAGGGATTGAGCAGAACAGACAATCATCAAGTGATCCATCTTCTGTCGCCCATTCTCAGCTTCTGGCAAAACTTCTATGTGTTGGATTATCTTGCTAAAAACAATCTGATCAAGACACTTAAATGGATGGAATGATTACATACTCATAAGGGGAGACTTACAAAAAAAAGAAGAGGGGAACCCCCCCCCCATCTAAAGTGTAAAGCGTTGTTAATAGGAGAGATGGAATTCGCTGCCATTTTTGTTAAAATATGTTTGGTGGCAACAGAACTGGCACTCCCAACATGTCCAGTATTAACTGGCTTACTTACCACATATGTAGTTCTGGGTTACCTGTCAAAGAATAAAGTTACCCTCTCAGTGAGGGCATAAGAGGGGTCAATGAAAAGTGTGAAATTAATCTGATAGCTCCCATATTGCTAATACAATAGAAGAAGGATTCCTAAAATGCATGTAACTTATTAGCAATTCCAATTTGTTGTTGTTGCAGTCAATATTCTCTGCATTTTTGCACGTATAATGGCTAAGGCTATGTTTATGTCATGGAGATGTGGAAGTCACGGAATCGGATTTCTATAGAGATCTCTGACATTTTCTGCTTCAGCCCCAGGAACTGTCAACCAGCAGGGCCCTGACAGGGTTGCAGTGACAGGGGCCCCCCTGCAAGCTTCCAGCGACAGGTGACAAACTCCTGAGGGGGCCCTCCTCGGGGTTCCAGCCACAGGCAACAGCCTCGTGCAGGGGGAGGAGGAGACCTTGAGTGAGTGGCTGGCGGTGTCCCGTTCTCTTTGGGAAATCTAGTGACCCTGCAGCTCCAGCTGCCGTGGCGGGGGGACGGGGGAGAGGCTGCAGCTTCCAGCTGCCGCAGTCAGAGGGGGAACCCCAGAGCGCCCAACCACCCTGGTGGTGGGAGAAACCATGGAGCTGCAGCAGGAAAAGTCACAGACAGGTCACGGCTTCAGTGAATTTTTCTTTATTGCCTGTGACCTGTCCATGACTAATTAAAATAACCATGACAAAATCTTAGCCTTAATAATGGCAAGTGTAAACATCCCTGCTAAAACGAACACTTTAACCACCTCCCCAATTGGCAAGGATATCCCTGGAGTTGTATGAAGGTAGGTTCTGCATATAAATCAGTCTACCCTGGTTAGTGAAGAGCTAAAGGTCCTGATCTGGAATACATTTTCCCAACATCTGTCAGAATCGGGGCTTTCATTCTAGCTTCCTGGCTCTGCCACAGACTTCTTTTGTGAGCTTGGGCAAGTCACTCACAGCTAGATCCACAATGGGACTTATGCACCCAAGTCCAACATTTAGGCAGCACGGAGATCCTCAAATCTCCCATTCAGCTGCTGCCTAACCCTATAGGCACTTAAAGTCCCCATGCACCTATGTTTCTGCTGGTGGGCCTGTGCAAACCTGCCTAAATCCTGATGCTGCTGAGCTGCTTGGTGCTCTAGCTCATGACTAAACCCCATGGGATTTCAAAGTAGGCCATCCCCCACCTCTCTCACCTGCAGGGCCCAATCAGGCATGCTCTGAGCCTGCCTACCAACTGGATTGGGCCCTAAACCAAAGACATCTGACACGTGACCAGATTTGGGGAAAGGTGTGTGTGTGTGGGGGGGGGTGTCAGAGAGGGAAAGAGTATGTGTGTGAAGAGCTCACCTTATTCCAACAGAATTGTCGGGAGGTTAGAGGTGCAAGAGAGTTTGAGCTAAAGAGGAAGTCTTCCCCCATTTTGGCTTGCTGTACTCAGTGGGTAAAATTCAGCCTAAAACATGAGTTATAAGTGGGGCTTCGGGACTTGTGAAAGCTCTCTGCTGCTGGGTGAATATTCTCCAAAGAACAGTGATGGAGCAGCATGCTTATAAGCACATTCAAACCCTTCCAGCTGGGATTTTCAAAAGGACCCTAGGGGAATTAGGCACCGAGCTTCTACTGAAATTCAGGTCTAGGCATACACCTCCTTAATAGTCCTCTGTTTGGGAAAATGCAATAGTAAAGGCAGATTGTGTGTGTGTGTGTGTGTGTGTGTGTGTGTGTGTGTGTGTGTGTGTGTGTGTGAGAGAGAGAGAGAGAGAGAGAAGTAAATT